ATTTTCAGCCAAGCAAGCCACAAAAATATGCATTCTCCTCCAAAGCCTGAATACATACACATGGTCTAATGGCCCGAGTACAGGACTGCAAGCCAGGAACTCTTTGCTTTTAATCTCTTCTCTTCAACTGACTTACAGGGAAGTTGTTTTACTGATTTAGACCTCAATTTCTTTATCCCAAACAGGATAAACTGTTCAGCAAGTACTTCTTCTCCCAGGGGTCCCTGTACGTAGTAGTGAATATTTTTTACAGTATTATTTTAGTGCTTTAGACAAGCTTTTTTAAAAACAAACAGAAGCAGCTTTCCTGCTGTTTTTGCTCCTCTGCCAATCCCTATGTTTAATTTAATGGAGATCAGCCATGATGACAAATCATGGGGAGTCACTATTTTTCTATTTTGTCCTCACATAGCTAAAAATAAGGCAGGCATCTGCTGTCTGTAGCCATGAGTTTGAAGGCATGGAATAAAACGCAAGGAAGAAACACTTCCTTGAGTCTTACCCCAAGACATCACAGTGGGATTCATATTGGAAAGTATCAGTTCAACAGTGATTTGCATATCCCTGACATCACAGAAAAGCAAAATTATTGCAGGAAATTCTAAATAAATTGTGATTTGCCTAAATCATAACTTTGCATTAAAATATAGAACACACAGGAGAATGTATCAACTCCCCTCTACTTGCCTCTTAAAAAACAGCTATACAAGTTCCCTGGAAAACAGTAAAAGGTGTTCCATTCAACTTGCATTACTCTGGTAGGCAGCACTCACAACCTTGAGTGAGCATTTTCAGAGCAACTAATGAAGCAGATCAGGAAATTGCAATAGGATACGTTAATCCCTGGTATAATTAATTATATCAAGACTAATTTAGCTGTCTGAATCTGCATACATGCACCCTTGTAAGTATTTCTGGGTCACAGACAGCTACTGATAGTTTTACTTCAAGCCAACCATTTCAAACTCCCCAGCGTACATGGATGCCGCTGCACCATGTTAGCGAGCACAGCTTTTCTGACTAGCTTGCATAATATTCACTTCCCACCAGAAGTCTCGTTTTCCGCTTGCAACACGTTCAGCCCAAAAAGTCAAAAAAAGGTTGGAAATGACTCTCCAATGGCTACACCCCACAAAGAATGACAGGAAATCTTTCAGGCAAGTTTGTGATAACTCACGAACTATTTCCCCAAGTCACACTGCTACTAGAGATTTACCTCAGACTTTAAAAATCCACCTGCTGAAAGCTGTACCACTTACCTAATTGTGGTACAGTGAGAAATAAATGGACTAAAGTTTCCATCAGCACAAGAGACCGGCTGCAGTTAGGTGAACAAAGAGAGTGCTACCTTGGTGGCACCATCCATTACCATGACAGACCAAACTCTGCAGTCTGAGAGCAGATTAAGGAGATGGCAGAGGGAAAGGATCACTGAAAGAAGAGGAAGGTCGATTGCCGTAATATTGTATCCTCCTTACAGTTTCTTGCACATAAGCTAGAGCTGCAATACTGTCATCAAACTCTATCAGTCCTCCAACGGAATGGCAGTGCAAGGAGAACAAAAGTTGGGCCTCACAAAGGAAAAGGCTTATAACAGAATATCATACTGCGCAATTAAGTACAAGAGATCAAGTAATACTAAAGGCTAAAGATCCCAAGCATTTAAGTAGCTTCTGCAAGCCAAATCCAACACTCCTCCTTACCTCTCAGTCCATAAACGTGCTAGGACGTAAAATTTCACAATGGACAAACAAAAGAATGGTTGGAAATTGGTAATATTTTTAAGACTAAACATGCTAATAGTAAGCAAATTCAGACAAATCACTAACTGATTTTCACCAGTGCTAAAAAGCACATACATCTTTGCACTGGCAAAATATCTCTTCTTTAAATCCAGAGTATGAATCCAGCCTCTCCAACTCAAGAGTTCACGTAAAACCAAACCACATGGTTGTAACTGCCAGAAGAAAACTTTTTTTCCAGGATTTCATGATACTGAGGCACAGGAAAAGCACTGCAACTGAGGAGCAGGACAGTCTCAGAATCAGTACTATCTTGATGCTTTGCACCATATCCGTCTTTAGGAGCTGTAACTCTACAGAGTCATCCTCTGGCCCAACTGGCTTCTGAACTGACTGCTCATGGAAATTGGAAGCCACCTTAACAAACATTCCTAGTGTATATGCTCTTGCTGTATTCTCAAGCATCCAAATTTGATACCTGCAGAAGACAAAAAACGTTAGTTTTATGGTACCTAGAGTTGAGTTGCCCAAGTGAATTTGCAATATAGACTTTCAGAAAAAGAGTTGTGCTCAGTGCTGCTCAACTCCAAAAACAGCGGAAAGGCATGTGTTTTTTCCCCCTCAAGTGCTACATACCCAATTCTATTCTCTCTCTAAAATGTCAGACCAAAAAGCAGTGTCTGAAGAAAGCATAGACAAAAAAGTGATTAGGCCTGACTGCTATAATTATACTGCATAACAGTATAATTCTATTGGCGATGTTACGTCAGCAGAAATATTGCTAATATAGACAGGCCAGTCAGATGAGAATAGCTTTATTTCCTTAGCTACTGCAAGATGCCATTAGTGTCCCTGTAAAAAAAAGAGTAATTCAGCAAGGTGCTAACCTGTACATTGCAAGCACTTTTTAAACAAATTTATCTTCTTACAAGCAGAATAGAAACATACTGTACAAAAGTAGGAAGCAAAATGCTTTATCCCCATTTTACAGTCAGAAAGCCTGTAAAAAAAAAAAAAAGTAAAAAAAAAAAAAAAAAGTAGAAGGTCTGCTCTTTCTAAATTATCAATGATTTTGAATGCCCACGTTGAGGCAATAGACACACCTCTATCAGCACGGGTGTGGATACCCAGACCTTCTGAAAATCACGTCTCAAACGCTGCAAGTGACTAGGTCTGCAGAGAGACAGCCAGGAACGAGCTGTACAGGAAGCACACAGACGTTTTACGGTCTTGAGGTTAGGAGTACACCCTACACTGGACACAGTTAACTGCCAGTGATATTACCCGAGCTCCTCTATCATTTCAAAAAAATTAGACCTGGACAGCATTCCCACCCCACGCGCTGGTTTGTACTGCAAAACCTGAGCCAAAGATACTCAAGAATAGAAACGAGGAGTAGCTGTATCTACACCTGAAGAACTTCCAGTCCGATAAAGAACAACAAGGAGCGGATGAAGTTGCAGCACAACTCCCAGAGAGGTGAGCATTGACTGGCTACCACTTTGGCTCCAGTGGGCCCAGGTTTTACCAGCAGAACATCATCCAATTGTGACACCAAGCACCCTGGCAGAAGGAGCTGGTGCTCAGAGGAACGGCTGGAAGGAGAAACAAGCATCAGAAATAAAGCCACTCCAACAGGAATGCCAGGAGGTGAGCAAAGACTGCGGGTTAAAGGGCTGGTGTCCTGCTCTGCTCTTTGTATGCTGTGAAATTGGAGCTAAGCCGTTCCAGTCCCATGCCTATACTGCTGTATCCCTCTCCCAGAAAATCTCTTTTGATCACAGGGAGTTAACAGACCTGAGCTGGTTACAGAAGGGACACCTCATCTCCAAAAACTTTAGAACTCACCGCTCTGTGATACAGACATCTCATTCCTTCTCTTACAGTTGTAACAGATGCCTGTGATACGAGGGGCCTGTTATTCAAAATAAAAAAGCATGCACGAGAGTGACCATAAGTGGCAAACAAAGCTGCCTCTGTTTCCGCTACACGTTCACATGTTAAAACGATGCTGCAGTAGTGAAGGAGCTACCTCATGAAATAAAGTAAGTCATTGGCCTAACTGCGATCCGACGCAACAGAGGACGATCGATACACTGTTTTCTTAGGGGCGCAAAAAAGAGCAGTCAGAGGCGCGCGCCCGCATCTTCTCTGGAAACGGTACCTCATGGCAGGTTAGATTCGCCTGGATTTCCAGAGGACTGCCTCAGTTCTCCATCTTCCCGCGGACGGTGCTCTCTCCTACCTCCTTTGTAGGGCTGATTACCCAGGGAGAGCGTTTTAAAAGCCCCAAAACAAACCTACCCACGACCCCCAGCCCAACTTCCCCGCGTTTAATCCCCAGCCCTCCGACGGCCGAGCACCCGCTTCCCAGCGAGGCGCTCGGACCTCTTCCTTTAACCCCGACGCACCAGAAAAACCTCCAAGACGAGCAGCCGGGGGGCCGCGGGCCGGGACTTACCAGCAGGACGACACAAAGCCCGCGGCAGCCTCCCCCACCACACGCACCCACACACGAAGTTTCGGGCGGGCGGGAGGCGGCCCCGCACCCCCCGGGGGCTGCGGCGGCGCGGGGGGGGGGGGGGGGGGGTGTGCGGCCGGGCCGCCCGGCCCCGCACCGCCGGGACAGGCTCCCGCCCGGAACCCGCCGCCCGCTTCGGTCGCTCGGGCTGTCCCGGAGCGGAGCTACACCGAGGGAGCGGCGGGGCCGGTACTCACACATCCAAGAGCGGGCGGGCGGCGCGGCTCGGACATCAGCCGGCAGCGGGGTCCCCTTCCAGCGGCGGCGAGCCCCGACCCCCGCAGCCCCCCCCCCCCGCCCCGGGACGGCCGGCGGGGGGACGAGGAGGCTGCGGCGGCGGGAGCCCCGCGGAGCGCCCCTCCTCCCGCCGGGCGGGCAGACCCACCTCGCCGCTGCCCGCCGGCGCCCGGCGCCCCGCGGCGGGGCAAGGAGCAGGAGCAGGGGCTGAGGCTGAGGCGGGCAGCCGCGACCGCCCCGCGGGGAAGGGAAGAGGAGGCGGGCGGGCGGGCCCGGCTTCGGCCCTACACACCGCCGGCTGCCCGCGCCGCCGCTGCTGCCGCCGCCGCCGCAGCTGCCCGGGAGACGTGGCAGTGAGGGCTGATGCTCTCATCACAGGGCGACAGGCGGCGGCGGCGGCGGCGGCAGCAACAGCCACCGCGGCGGCCGGCGGCCGCGGCCGGCCCAGGGAGGGAAGGGCGCCGCGGGGGCGGGGCGGCCGCGCTGCGCCGCCATCTTGGTGGTGGCAGCACCAGGGCCGCCCGCCCGCCGCCCGCCTCTGTCTGTCTTACCGAGCTCGGTGCCGCCGCCAGCTTGTCCTTCCCGCTGGTTTTTTGTTATTTTTTTTTGTTTGTTTGTTTTCTGTTTTGTTTTGGTTTGGTTTTTTTTTGAACTCGCACATCGCCGGCACGTTGGCGGGAGTCTCCGGGGGAGGTGCTCCGTCTCCATACTCGCTCTTCGCTGCACCGAGAACATTTGGGTTGCCCTAGTAATAATAAATCTAGAAGGCTCCGCGTTTTGCGTCGGTGAGATGCCAGAAAACTCGGAATCGTAATTAACCGCAAATCTCTTCATCCCACGACTGAACACCAGCGGCTGGAAAGTCCTGCCGCCGCTGCCACCCTCAGCTGAGGTGCGATGCCGATGCCTAACCGGAGGAGACCTGGGCCACCCGAATATCTTAGCAGGTACGCACAGGCACTGTAACACCCAGCGAAGAGCGAGCAGTGGGGAAGGGACCTCGGGTAGTATCTGCAACAGCCACCAAGCGGCAGCAGATCTTCAAAGGTTGGCGGGGTGGTTGACACGAAACCAACCCGAAACTTTCTGGAGCAGCGTGCAGCAAGTGACCCCTGTAGGCGCCAGCCCAAAGCTGGGGAGCTGTGCTGGTGAAAAGGTATGCCTTTGGGTGATTAGCTTTTCACAATCACAAGAAGAAAGGTCTCCCGGGGCGCAAGAGGAAATACTGGAGGAAAGAAATATTGCGTGTGAGCAGTGGACAATTCTGTGTCACCACTCAAAAGTCTTACCCCCAGAACCTGCTGTCTCAGGCCAGGCAAGTCTATGGTAAATAGGGTAGAGCTGGCCTGGCCAACCCATTCTGTTCTGATAAAGTCTCATTGGCTTATCAGTGTGGTTAGGCTTGTCTCTGATAGAGAATACGCCCTCCTTATTCCCTGCCAGCAGATCTGGACCACAGCTGCCGTGCTCTGAACAGACCGCAGATGCCTGCCTCACTGCCCTTGCACCTCGGATTTGCTCATCTTTCTCCCTGTAGCCACAGAAATGACCAGTGACAGCCCAGCTGTACCAGCAGGCTGTGGCTGTAGTCCTGTCTGCACCTCTGTAATGCACACCTTGTACTAGGAAATCTGCCAAAACATTCTGTTGTTTCAGATCAGCTGGAAAAAAGCCCAAACTAAAATATGAAATCTTTCAAAAAATAAATTGTTCTTAACCTCAGTTCAGGTGTCTCAAAGGCCTGAGGCCCCTGCTCCAAGAGAAAGCTACTCTTTGTGTAAAATATGCCCAGGAGATCTTAGCTGATGGAGCTGTGCAACAGGGCAGAGTAAGGTAGGAGACAGAGGTCTGTGCTAATCCCACAGGGGGGAAATTCCTTCTCAGCTGCAAGTCTGAACACCAGTTTAAGTCTGGATACATGCAGAAGAATCTTACAGTTTCTGTGCATTTTGACTCAAATAAATAACTTTGCGTTACTTGTAAAAGTTAGGCTGATGACCTGACAGCAACTCTGGCTAGATGTTTTAAGGTTTACACACCCTTCTACCTAGCATACTACTTATAATGGTTATGCATACAGAATTCAATTAAATTGTATGAAGACTTGGGTGCCTCGTCTTTTCCTTTCTTGTTCTCATGTGGAAACAAGCCTGGGACAACTGCAGAGTGACAATTTATTCTCATGTATCCTTGATCATGCTATTTCAGAAATACCTTGCATATATCTGCCAGGGTCCTTGTGGCCAATCCATGACATGTTTTATTTTTATCACCGAGTTCATCAGAAAGATGTGTGAATGAGGACAGCAAGGACCCAAACATATTTGCAAGGCAACTGTAATCCAGCCTGAGCTAAGGAAACTAGGACTGAGGAATAAGGAGCACCTCGGGCAGAATGTGAAAGATGAGACCACCCTTGTTACGTTTTGTGAAATCCCCCCAGTGATTTAACTGATCCTTGCGTGGGACTTGTATCATGTGAAATTTGGGATTACATCTGTGAGAAACCCAGGAAAGTAGAGGCCCATGTTCAGAAAGACTCTTCCTCTCTGATTAAATGTGTAATCGCTACAGGGAATTTGATAAAACACTTGTGCTGAGTCCCTGTACCATCACTTTCACCACTGTCCAGTACACCAGCAAACACTAATGGTATGAAACTTCTTTCACGCTCAGCCAGTAGCACACTTGATTTTGCCCTTTTTTGCCTGCTCCTGTTTTCTTCTAACTCTCATTTCCTTTCTGGTATTTGGGGTTAATGCCCTTTTTATTTACTTCTTGCTTCTGCCATGCTTCATGTCTGTTTTCTGCTGCCCCTTAGAAGACGTAAAATCTTTGTCACTCACTCTCCCTCCTGTTTCAAACTCCCTTTCCAGTCTTACTGATTTAACTCCTTCCTTTTCCATTTTATCAAACATCCCCTCTATCCTTTTGCTGCAGGGCTACTGCCCCACAATCTGTGGGGCATAAAGGGGTGTGACCCTGAACAGTCCTGTAAATTTACCCTGGGATACGGCTGTAATTTAACTCCGAGAGTCAAAGCCTTACCTCAGCAAAGCAAAGACCTAATTTCCGTCTTATGTACACATACTCAGATGAGGTCAGGTACCACTGTCAGTGTGGCTGTAGTGACATGAAATCCAGCACGAACCAATTGCTTGAGTGTCCACTGGTTGCTGGGATGGCTTTTGAAGCCCACTCTATGCTCCTTGCTACTGACACCATGCTGTTATTGGCACCTGCCCATCTGCTTTGCTGACTTGTACGACTGTGCCAGTAAGTCATCACCACCAGGACATATTTCCATGGAAGTTATTTTGTGCTGCAGAACATTTACTTAGCGTGTGCTAGGATTGGGCTCCAGGGTTTAAAGTTGGGTGTGTGCTAGGATTGGGCTCTAAAGTTCAAAATAGAGTGTAGCTGAATAAGACACAGTAAAATTAGGAGCATAGACCTCTGGATTTAACAGTTATATTAACTCTCTTACAGAAAATACTAGTGTTATGGGGATCGTGAGTCACTTTTGTCTAAAAATGTGAGGTGGAACTTCCTGTTGTGACCACACAAACACCGGTTGGATTTTGTGCACAAACCATGGCCTGGGAAGTCAAATCTCCCTTCCAAAGTTTCCTCTGTATCACATCTGCCTGCAAGAAAGGGTCACCGCTGTTCACCTTTCGAGGCCACGTTGCATCAGGCAAACAGCTTTCATCCAAAAGATTTATCAGGTAAAAGGCCTGTGTTTAAACCGTGAGATTGAAGAACAGAAACAAAAAGAAAGGCTGTTTTCACACTTCCTGCAGGGAGGAGCGTCTGATGTGGACTTTGTATCTGTATCCAGAAAATCAGTGCTGCTGTACATCTTCTACAGGTCGTGTTACAGAAGTGTTTTACTTCAGATCACCACTGTCTCTGTGAATAGGAAACTAACCTGCAGGGCTTTAAAATCTACTCTTGCTCAGCAAATAGCACTGCTAACAGACACAGACCCAAATGACCCATGTTCTGATTCTGTTTGCTCGGAAATTCTGATACTTAAATGATGCTGTATTGAGATAGACTACATCCAGGATTGCTTCATTGGTAATTTTTTAGTAGCACTAAGAACCTGGTATGGATTTGCTTTCTGAGGGAAGGAAACCATTTATGCTGTGCTAAGGAAACTGATGAGGTATCAGGTTTTCTGTCCGATATCACCGTCTCTTCCCAGACAGGAAAAAAAGGTGTCTGTTCATCACCTCAACATAGTAACGTTACTCAACATGCCATATACTGTGTGTCCTTCTCCAAACTGGAGATGTAGCATTCCACTGAAATACCTACTACTACGTTTACACATAATTATTTACTGAATGGCATTATTTCCTCAACTAATGATCTTTGGCCTTTTTCAAAGATTTAAAAAATGTAATTTTACACTTTGAAAACCTTGAGTCAGTGGGACATTTGGGGAAAAAATAGGTTGTACTGCATTTGCATGTGGCGTGGGGCCCAGTGATACATGGCTGATATTCTGGGTAGTTTAAGTTCAGTTCTTGTCATATTCTACAAGTGGGAATAAAATCAACAGCTAAAGATCTCACCTAGGACAACCGGAATTTCTGAACTAGGGGAAAAGGTAAGGTTTTGCTTAGTAAAAGATTAAAGATAGGTCACTGAAGGAGACCCCAGACTCAGGACCCTTCTCAATACAGACTCTGTTCCCGTGAGATTCACAAGAGGGTTTTATTTTTTAGAACAGTCATAACATTTAGTCCAGAGGAAAGAAACCTGATTAAAGAAAGTTTGGCAAATGTGACATTTGCCAGATAAGAACGCTTGTGGAAGAAAACACGCACAGGGACTTTTATAAAAGCGTAGCCACAGCAATGCTTGTATCAGTTTAGCATAGTGTTCCATGGGCCGTAACTGGAGATAACTGCTGTTCTCAGCGCATTCTCTCCTACATCCCCCTCGATGCCTCCACTGCAACAGCCCTTCATACCCCCACAACACAGTATCCCACACCTCTGAAACCACACAACACTTGCAGACCCTCTGCGTATCCCGAGTTGCTTCTAGCATTTTCACACCCACCTTTGGCCGCCTTTTCTCTCCCCTTACTGACCCTGCAAGGCCACCACAAGAGCTTCACATCTCACTACTTGCTTACCTGCCTTCGTTAGCCTGTAGGATGAGTGAGAATGTGATTTGCTGGGCGTGTTGGGACTTAAGGCACACGCTGGTTAGGTCTGTGGTTTGCGTGTGGCTGGGCAAGCCGGGTAGTGCCAATACACCCTCGGCTGGGTCAAATGATGACTAATGCTCTCTGCCACTCTCTCAGCAGAGTGTCTTCTTCTGTAGCTACAGCTCTGATTCTTACAGCATTAACAGAAACTTGCTACCTTTGAGACGGGTGCTGCTTTGACAGGTTTGATTACAACTGGCAAGTAGCACCTGGGTTCGACAATTACGTAACATTATAAAACCCGACTAAAACTATCAATAGGTGTGACCGATACCCTTGGAAAAGCAGTCACTCATACAGTTTTTGTATCATGTATCTTTTAATTTCGGATTATCAACATCCTTCACTATTTACAAACTGAAGGAATGTAAGACTATTCTTCATTCTCCCTCCAATCCAATTCCTGGCAGTTTCAGTGGAGGTTATTTTTTTTTCTCACAAAGAAACATTTACAACATTTTGCTTTGTTTAACTTTTTACGCTTTTAAACAGAAGTTTTATCCTCTATGGTTCTTTTAACAGAAGTAATTTCTTACCACAAAAGAAGATGAATTTTGCCTTTGTCTTGAAGGGCTTTTTTAGTGCTTGACAGCAGATTCCTCTTGGGCGCAACTTTTTGAGGTCTGGGCTGAGGATTCCAGGTCCTGACAGGCACATATACAGGCTGATCATAGAGCTGGGCAGACTCAGCAGGGCAGCACCACAGTCACCCCTACTGCTCCCCTTTTGCTTTTCTTGCTGTTGTCAGTGAAATGTCTTTGCTATTTTGACCAAATAATTTTAAATAATTGTTCTTTTTTTTTTTTTTTTTTTGCAAGTAGTGGCACTAAAGCCAAAAAGTTTTGCATGGAGAAACAAGTTACATTATAGCAATATGAACTTTGCTTAATCCATAGGGTGATCTCATTTGTACTGCAGGCAAGAATACC